TACAACCACAAACTCCAGTGATGCAAAGTGATGCATAATTTTAAAGTGAATGGAAAATGTGCAGGACGTAAACTAGATTTCCCAGAGAAGATTAGTGAACAAATAACAACACAAACAGAGAAAACTAAATAGAAGCTAAAAGCCATATAAGGTTACAAAAGCAATATCCCAAGTTTTCAACATATTACTGAACTATCCAAGCATCTGAAAAATGAGGAGAGTGCCACAAGTACAAGACCAGGAGGACATGCCATATAAGCGTTATTCTTTTTAAAGGAGCAGAAAATAGGTCCATAGCAACTCTGGAGGAGCTGCAAATAATCACAGTTCAGGAGGTAAAATCTAGTCATGTGCACCTTAAATCCAGCCTTAATGGAAAAGTGGCAAGAAGCCACTTTCTAACTAAGCTCTCCTTTGTGTTAGTCTGCCACATGAAACTCTAAAGTTTCAATTATTGTTTGTGATTTGTAATGTTTTCAAAATCTGAACAAGGACAAGGGCTCTTTTGTTCTGGATAATGCTGTGAAAAAAGTGTTGTTCCAGCTAAGCAGGAAGGTAATAAAACCTGAGATGGACAGGCAGCTTTGTGGTGGTCTGAAGACAATTAGCCACCTCAGTTAGTACAGCTGCATGTCACATGTATCTGCTTTAAAAAAAAAAAAAAAAAAACGATTTCAAGTCTTTCTTCAGGATTCAGTGCTTCAAAGAGCATCCGATTCTGAACGCACCCAAAGGCATCTTTGTTGAGACTTGGAGGGAATGTGATGATTGGCTGGGAAACCTCTTAATGGACTTTTTGCCTTTTCTGTCTGGTGACGTAACATGAATGTATGGTATGCCTATGAAACTCAGGATATCCTGCGTGAGGGACTGCCACCCTGTTCTACTTATATCTGTCATCATGAGATGCCTCAGGCCACTGGCCAAGACCCACACAGACTCACTTCCCCTGAGTGATCTGCACTTTGTATTGAGTGTTAAATCGCTATCATCTTAGCTCAGTGAGGCATCTCTCTCTCTATGCCTCTTTCTATCTGTCTTTGGCAAAAGGAGCAACTACTGTCCAGCTGAGAATGTTGTAGGCCAACAACCAAGCATTGACAAATCCCCTTCACCATCAGGGACCATCTTAGCACCACTATCTGCAGCTCAGCGCTTGACTTGTTGACAAGCAGGTCGCTGCTGGTGAAGATGAGCACTTTCCGCTCTCTCGTTATCCAACATTTCACTTCAAACTAAAGCATGTGTCGGTTCTTACTGATCTCACCTCAGTCCGCTGTGCAGCACAAAGCCAGTTTGATTAGTCTGAAAATGCCTCTGCAGCAATCGGGATACTAGGAAGACAGGAAATCAGAGCATGCAGTGCATTGCAACAGTGCCCAATAACCCTTTGAACTTGTCTACATCTTGTCCTGTTACACCTAAACTACCACATACTTTTCATGTAACCCATTAATAAAAAAGTAGAGTGGAATTGTAAAGGAGACGAGGACACATGGTTCTCAATATATCTATATGGATAAAATCTGAAAAGTGTGCGATGCATGTGCATTCAGATGCCTTTACTCAGAGCCTCAGAGCCTGTTAGAGAATGTTACCAAATGAATGACCTGCTGGAGATAAAATTTTCTTAAGCATTTTCACAAATGCATGTAAAAAAAACAACAAAGAAAAACAGTTTCAAGCCTGCGCAAAACATCTCTGATGACAGGATGAAGCAAAAGAGGATGACAGTGGGATACAGGAAATAACAAGGTCGAAGAGGAAACACACTGATCGATCTGATGGAAGTGGAGAGAGTCAGCAGTTTTAAGTCCCCTCAGATCAATATTACTCGGTGATGTAAACACGGAGGCTCACTGTGGCTATAAACATGCCCACAATCCGCCACATGTGTGGAACCTCGGGCTGCAGCAGCTGCGTCACAACGTGTGATGAGCAAGATGCAGAACCCTGCTTGGCGAATCCATACAGCAGGCGATGTAAACAGCATGGGTCCTCAAAGGGAGTAAACAGCTAACGCGTGGGGGACATTTTCCAAGAAAGACACTCACGCGGCTCTCAACACATCCCAGCCACAAGCTTGGCAGTCCGTAGTGCTTTGGAAAACATTACAGGGTAGAATTTCCAGAAGTTTCAGGACGGTAGTGGTAGCTCCCACTCCTGCATTTTCCTGCCTACACAAATATTGTAGTACTGTAGTTGTTTTTTTGTGTGTCACATAGCCTAAAGCACTAAGAGGTCAGGAGGTTTGCGCCAATGGATTTCTTTTTCTTGCCTTCAAAACCACTAAAAATCTATCCAGGCACTTGTGACAAAAGCCTTAAAGATTGTTCAAGTTCCTCTCATACTTTAGCATTAAAGGGATTCTTTTGGGCTAAACCTGGAAGACCAAAGGTTAGTTGCCTTAATTTTCTCATAACGTCACTAAGACAAATTTAGTTATTAGACCTTGGGGGGAGGAGGGAGTATATGAATAGTTACCATATATATAATTATCTAGATTATTAATGCGATGAGAAAGTCGCAGACAGAGAAATCCCTCCAGAGGACTTTTCTGTTTCTGCAAAATGGAAACGTTACTGCTTACAACACATTCTACTGTAGTGTTTACAGCTCCCTCTAGTGGATGTATGCATGGAAGATATAAACACACAACTGCTGCTCCCTGCGAAAAAAAACTGCATCATAAAATTTTATGACTTTTTAAACTCATGGCTACCTATCAGTAAAAAAAAAAAAAATTCTAGCAAGTACAAATAATTTGTTGTTTCCAAGCAACTGAAGATTAAGAAGCATAACATCAATACATGTTTGGCACAAACAGGGAAGTTTGTTCTTTTACCTGTGGTGCCAAAACAAGAACAAAGTTGCTTCTGGCAAGGACGTTTTGTACTTCACATCAACTCTAGTACAGAACTTTTGGAAGTCCTCGTACGTTCTGTCTTCTCCATTACTCGTACATTATAGTTGTCTGACACCTCAAAAGAAAAGGTTCAGCCCAGACACAGTCTCAACAACAAGCTGCAACAATGGTGTGTGACGTCAATTTGTATTTTCACCTGGGAGTGAGAGGTGAATGAATTTCTCTGTTCTTGTGGAGAATGTAGAGGCCTTTACGAAGTATCATCCAGGTTCAGACACGGTCTGCAACAGTCTATTTGCAATCATTGCGTTTCATATTTGTAAAAATGAAATGCATGAAACTGTTGGGCCTAGACACATCTAAAGAACTGAGAACTGTGGATGTTGTGCATTGCTCTAAAACAGTCTGGACTTTTGACAAGATGAATGTGCGGAAATTTTAAACAGCATGATAGTATGATTCATTATCACAAAATAGGGGGATCAGACTTTCAGAAAAATCTAGTTGGTCTAAAAGTGACAGCAATAAAACAATACACTTAGTATCTGTCAATAATGGCTTTCTTTTTGACACTGTTGTTGACACACTAGTGCATATCTAATATTTGTCCTGTTGAAATCTGCTCCTCTACCAGACTGGCCATGGGCATCAGCATGATCTGTAAAATGCCTCAAGTTTGGGATAGAGTTTTTATTATCGAGACTTTCCTTTAAAAAAAAAATATAAAAAACCCCTAAAAAAACAAACAAACAAAAAAACACGAAAAACTGTTGAAAACAGTTTGTCCTTCTCCTTCCACTTCGCAATTATCACATAAAACACATTGAAGTTTTTGGTTTTAACGTGATACAATTTGAAGGCGTTCAAAGACTGAATACGAGCACCACTGATACGTCACATAAGTCATACTTTTATTTTGAAAGCCTCGCTTTTATTCTGGTAAATTGAACAGAAACCAGTACAGATAATGAAAATCAAAGGTAACTGAAGGACTTTGCTGATAATTATTTAACGCGTCTCTTTAGTATAGCCTTGGTATTGCATTATTATGTATACAGTAATCAATACAAAGACCTAAACCTCTGTTTGAATGCGTGCTGCAGACATTTGGACGTCACACACCGCCGGCGGAAGCCGTTTTCACATGATAGCAATTTTTAGGCGAGGCGCTCGCCAAGCTAGCATAAGTTAGCTAACAGATAATTTAAAAAAAACAAAAAAAAAAGAGCTTCCAAAGCGTCAATAAATGCAATGTTCGGTTATCTGCGGAAAGACGTGTAACAAAAACCTCATCGTCACCTCTAGAGGTTTATGTCACAATATGCAGTGGGACTGCACGCAGTTGGTCCCATGGTGTAATGGTTAGCACTCTGGACTTTGAATCCAGCGATCCGAGTTCAAATCTCGGTGGGACCTCGTCTTTTTATCCCCATTCGGAAAGAGAGTGTCCGACCTACAAAGGTGGGTAAAGCAACCCAGTATTGTACTCATTTAATTAGACCACTACTTCAACTTATTGTTTACTGAAGTAAAGCTAAAAAGTAGCCTTCGGAGTAAGCACACGAGAATATAAAAAGTCAGGTAAAAAGGCAATTCAAGTACTGAATAATTGATTTAATATTTAGAAATGATGTCATCAGACAAAAATATAATGCGATGCGGAAATTCTGGTATTTTAAAGAATATAATGAAAAAGAAATTACAAATAACAGCTATTCTCATTCAATGCAAATAAATAGCATTGAGGTTGAAGAAACACTTTTTCAAAAAGGTTTATATTTCTTCAACATAAAATTTGTGAAACCAATACTTACTGTATGTAGGTCTAATGTGAAAACAGGGAAAAAGTACAAATTATCCTGAAATTTTACTCAAGTAAGAGCAGTGATAGATCATAATAATATTCCTCTGGTGAAAACAAGAAGCATGTGAAGTAAAACGATTCCGAAGAGTATTTTCCCCCCAAAAGTTACTCAAGTAAATGTAACTGGGTGAGTGCAACCAGCCAACCATTAATGTGAAAGGTTGGACTGTGAAAAATTTCCCATTACGGAGTATAGAAGGGTAAAACATGATAGCGGATAATTGAAAAGTAGTAAAATGCTACACAAGAATGATTAAACACACATCTCTATTTGAATTTAGGATCTTGGTTTAATATTCTGGTCAAATATGACATACATCATCCCTTCATTCTTTTTAACACGTCAAATACCTAAAATATATTACTTTTTAACATACACATCCCATATGAAAATAAGGATCATACTGTCAGTCATATAAAAGTACCAAAGAGATACATGTAGAAAATAAGGAAAAATGATTAAAACAGAACTTTGGCTTTAGGTTGCATTTCTCTCCAAAGCAAGGCATTCCTCAATATGGTTCTTTCACAAATATGTATGTATATAAAAGATCAAAAGAGATATCTGTCAAAGTATATTTTACTCTAACTGCAGCTATTTTATCCTATTCATTTTCATCTCACACAAATGTCTTGCCTTATTTTTTGGAGTTTTATTGAAGGGGTTTGCTGCTGATTTTCCAAAGTTAGCTAATTCAGATCTAAATGTCTTATATCCGTTTCCAAAAACTGATGGCGTGTATTACAGAAGCGACCCTTTTGTCCCATACATTTAGAAATTAATATCAGATAAGTTATATCAGATTGTGTTAGAAATAAAATGCATCTTATATCTGATAAGGGTTAAACAGCTGTCAATGCAATTACAATATTATATTCAATTACATGCTTTTTTTTCTGTGTGATAACTGTGTTTAAAGATTAATTATTTCCAGGTAGTCAAAAAAATTTTTGGTGTGAAAGTTTGTATTTTTCTATGATTTTCTACAAAGTCCTTTCTTTAAATCACTTACACTTCTCTGTCTTGCATTACATTCAGAAAACATCTGCATTTATATCATTTTGCCTTTTAAAAGTGAAACTTGCTTTTCTACCACATTGTCCACATTCATGAACCTCTTTCTGTATAGCTTTAAAAGTCTATGTTTAGGTAAATAAATATATGTGGTAAATGGGTTTTCTTTGATGTGATTTTTGTATTTAGTTGTACGCCATATGCTGTGCCTGAAACACAGTAAAGATATAAAAGAAAAAAAAAACACAACACAAGCACTTACTTGCTTGATGTGCTATCAGAATTAGTCCACCTGAAGCAAGGACACACAGGGACACAGACAAAACATCCAGATACATGAAAAACACACACAAAAAAAGGAGTCAGCTTCTAAAAACACTTGTTAGAAATTAGAGTTTACATACATACATGTCATAGTGAAACCACAGAGAAGCCGCTCGAACGTAGAACTTATGCTAAACATTTTTTTAGTAAAATTTAAAGTACACAAAAGGCATCTTTTACATCAGCAGCAGCAAGGGCACTTTTGTTATGACATTCATTAAAGACAGCAGACGTAAACAACTGCATGTAGAGATCCGGTCCGATACCTTTTTTTGTTTTCACAAAATGCAGTGGCAGTGTGTGTTTGCTTGTTCAAACCTCTGATTTTGTGGGTCCAGACTGCTGAAAGTGACACTGCTGATTGGGTAATGCCGCCTAAAGAACACTCTGCACAGACAAAAAAGAAAACATGACAAGTCTCTTTTTGACATTTGCATGAGGATTATGTACGTTTGCTAGGGATGTCTTCATCAGAATTCAAAGAATTTGACTGTAGCATCAATCTCCGAGGCAAAAACGTTTTATTAGGACAGCTTGTCATGACACATGTCTTACATTTGTTCGCTGTTTTTTAATCAAACTGATCTGTGTGTGTGTGTAACCGTGCGAAAAATGTTCACTATGCAAAATGTACCTTCTTTTACTGTCAGTCAGGGTGATCCCTTGTGAAGACACTTTGAAGTGGACCACTGTTGGAACTGGGCGTGGACTTAGAGCCTTCGTACACTTGATCGCCTTGGAAACAGCCTCTGGGCCCGTTAAAGACTCTGTTTCCACCGAATTCAGGTAGAGCACGTTGCATGCTAAATCAGTGTAAAAATGCAAATGATGTACGTGAGGTCAAACATACATCTCAAGCAGTTTTAGGTGTTCAAAAAAAAAAAAAAAAAAAAAAAAGCTCAAACTGCAACATGCAATGAATAAGTCTATACTTTACCTGCTCCTTGTTTAAGGAGGTCAGCAGCAGTACTAGTATTTGTTGCACTTTGCATCTCCTGAAGCTCCCCAACCAAATCTGAAATATGGTAGACTTTAGCTGCTTTACCCAAAAATAAATTGTCGTGTCATTTATAGCAGATTTGTAAAATATACCTAGATTTGAGCTCGAAAATACTACCTTTGTCTGGGATGCGGAGGGCACATGGCAGAGAGATGGGAGTTATTGAATGTTGGTACACTAGAGCAGATAGGCTTCCTGAGACAAAGGGAGAAGAACAAAAGAAACAAGCAGCGTTCACAGCAGTGAAAGATTTGAAGAGACTAAAACAGTGAATACAGGCAGCTCAATGGGGCACCAATTAAATAACAACACCTAAAGGCTTACAGGTTTAACTAATCAGCTTTATGTCTCATAAAAAACGGAATATGTTAAGCATGATACAGTTAGCTCTACAAAATAACTGACCGAAGTAGGACTCATTCTGACAGCCCTTGATCTTCACTCCCCGTGGCCCTGTCTCGATGAGGAAGTGTCTTACCAGCTGTTCCACAGGGTCCCCTGCGAAACAGGAGAAGAGGAGGAAAAAAATAAGAGGGACTGTCATGCTGTCAAGGAGTGCGTGTGGTGTTCACCAGCTGGATCAACTTCAGACCTGTCTGATATACTCTATTGTAAGGGACAAGAAGAAATGGACTGACAAAAACAGGTCATGCAGCATGATGTAACCATAAATAAATTACATGTCAAAAAGAACGTGCAGCCCTCTTATCTCTCACTCTCTTGTTAGTTTTAGTCTAGTCATCCGTCCCTCGTCTTCTGCCCATCTGAGTCCAGCCGCCCTACAAAGGCTCAAACCAGCTGCTTATAATCAGGATGTTGTTCTTTGGGTAGATGACGTTTTCAGCACAGACAGACCCATAGACTTTATGTGTAATTACGTAAATTAAAGAAATACATAAACACCTAATATGCAAAGAAAGTGTGGAAAGAGTACCCTTGTTTCCAGTGACGTTGGCATTGGGAGGAGGAGTGGCCACCTTAAGAGCGAGGCCATAAGCCCCCTGGAATGAGTTACTGTCTCTGATGAGGAAAGCCCCCGGCTCCTTGTCCTTCAACACAGCTATGGCTGTCGTAGAAAAGACAAATCAGTGACCTGGAAAGCTTTTTCCTTACCACGCTATTTACAGGTTCTTTGAAAATAATAAATCAAAACATGGATGGTGCTTTCTCAGATCGTTGTGACCCTTACCTTGGTCTCTGGAGATGCCTGGTTTGTACCAATATTTGGAGCTGTCCTGGACAAACTTAGAATTGACCCTTGTCTCTGCCTCTTCTGCGTAGCTGTGTTGTGCAGATTCCCTTCTTTGATCTCCCGCAGCAGGGGAAAAAGTAACATGGTGCACTGGCGAAGGACACGAGGAAGTGTGGAGTAAAGCAATGTGTCCGTTGGGGGACACTGCTGTAGAGGAAAATCGTTTTTTCTCGGGAAGTGGTGGCTGGATGGCGGGGATTGTTACGGCAGTGTACCCAGTGTATGGCACATGAGGAACATTTAGCAATGAGTAATAGTACGAGGCTAAGGGGAAGGTGGGTGTATGGTATCCATCTGGCACAGGTGAAGGGGGCTTAGTGTCTGCTGAGATGTCTTGGTCTGGGATAAGTCTTCGTCCTGCTTTGTCATTAGCAGAGCTGAAGCGCTGAGGAGATTGTTTATCTGTTGAGCCGATGGGAGAGTAAGAGGTAGGAGAGGAAAGACTAGAACTTAGATTATTAGAGGGATTCATGTTCAAGCTTTTACTGCAATCAGATGAAAGATTTATTGGAAGGGCAGTCCCATTGAGTTGGACTTGGACTGGAGGGATGATGACAGTGGCATAGTTTGAAATGTTTGATTTGGTCTTTTCATCTGAACTTTCTTTGACCTCAGCAACTGCAAGCTCATTATCGCCTTTCAGAAATGGCTCTGTTGAGGTTTTTGTAGGATTTGCAGTTACTGTTGAACTCTGGGTTTGTTCGTTTGATAGTGGTGTGACAGGTTTGCTTGTATTTGTGTCAGACTCCAAATGGGTCCCAACCTCTAGGCTTTGATTGGAGCTATCAGCGTTCACACTAATAATAATTAAAAAAAAGCAAAATATGGGACAAATTGAGCATTTATGCATATCTTAAGACGTGGACCAGTGTCAGAAAATATCTAAACAAAAAGGTTTACCAACCTGTCTTCTGTGTGAGTTGGGCTGCTGCTGCCAATAACTGTGTAGTCATGATCAGAGTCGCCTCCAGGGGTGCTTGACTGACAGCGAACATCAGATTTACTCTCTGAGTCTTGGGGTATATCTTCTTCTGCAACAGTCCTGGCTTTTTCCACTTTGACAGGAGAGATTTTAAAGTTGTGAAACAAAGGAAATGTAGAAAACACTACTAGAACCAACAACACAGGCTAAATTCAATAGCAAGATATTAAACTCCTAACAATTAAATATTCACCTTTGTGCTGCTCAGTGTGTGACTGCTCTCTGGATCCCAGAGGGATGTCAGGCAGCCTTCCCCTTCCTGGAGACGGGCTATTTGCTGGCATAGGTGATGCTGATCCAGAGTGATATCCTGAGGCATAACCCCGGCTTTCACGGCTTTCAGATGGAGAAGACTGATAGGGAGCACAGGGGCATGAGTGTCGGGGCTGTAGAGGCGTGTGGTACCCACTGCTGGCTCCATCCCTTACATCCATCAAAGACTGAGGAATGGGGTAGTTTTGATCCTGTGCAATAGCAAATCTAGGCTGCTCTAGGTTTGAGACCTGCTCCAAAGTAGGGTGGTAGAGATGAAATGCCGGCAGCGGTGACTTGCATTGCCAGAGTTCTGCTTTTCCTGTCAGCTCCCATGACTTTTCTGTTTCCCAAAGTAGAGGTGCCTCTCTCGACCGCTGTACCCCAGCTCCTTTTGGCCAGTGTGTGTTTTCAGCTTGGTCTGAATGCAGTTGTTGGAACATGTTAGCTGAGGATGACGGATGTTCTCGCCTGCTGGAGCAGTCCTGACAGTGGCAGTAGGAGGAAGATTTGGGCGAACTGACGGAAACCTCTCTGTAAGGGTTTCCAGGCTGCGGTTGGAGGGAGGGGTGAGGGCCTGATCCGTGGTCGGGATAGTGTAAGAGGTGACATTCCTCTCCGAGGTAGCATCTGTTTGAAGCAGGCAAAGTGTGACTGTGAGTGAGGGCATGTTCTGGGGTTAGGTAAGGGTAGCAAGACCTGTTGAGGCAGGGCAGGGATGGAGGATGGATTGGACGCTCCCATGTTAACTCAGTTACAGGGTGAGCGCTATGGCGATGGCAGAGCTCCATAATGGCTGAATGGGGAGGAGGAGACATAGATTTGGAGGGTAGGGCTGGCAGTGTTTGGCTTTTTGGATGCTTCTTAATGCTGTTGCAATGTCCAACAAATCGACCACCGGGAAGACAGAGATCTCTGTCCTTTTCCCATCCTGCGTCGCTACATCTTGCAGCTGCTTGACCACAGCAGGAGTGCTCTTGTCTCATAACCCCCGGACTTGAAGGATCTCCATCATCCAAAATTGCTGTTTCTCTATCCCTCTCTCTCTGTCTCCTCTTCTCCTTTGCCTTATCTTCCACATCTTCTTTCCTCAGTGGGCAGTCAGGGTCTTCTCTCTCAGAACAGTCAATCGACAGAGATGTTTCACTCAGTCGATCTGAAGAGACTGCAGAGCCTCTGGGACTACAATTGAATGCGAATGGTTGTGGTCTGGAGGCAGACTGGGTCTGGGGTTTCACAGTTGGGCTGCTAGTAAGGCATCCATTTGGCGAAGCAGCTGAGGAAGTTGCACCTGGTCCGCGTCGCTTCCTCACTTGTGCATACAAGCTGCCATCTAGAGGGCCTCTTGTGTGAGCGATATCTGATAGAATGGTGAAGACAAACAAAACCAATGTTACCTCTGATTTTAACATCAAGTTTTGAGTCTGTTCCAGTTTGAATGTTTCTCACTTTCCGTGCTGTCTTCATGGTGAAGATTTAAGTTTTCATAGGAATCCCATCTGACCACTGGGTCTGAGGTTTTGTAGTCTACTTTAACAGAAGAGTCGTTCTTGCGGTATTCTCGACCTTTTAAAGCATATTTATTGAAACAAAGTGAAACACAAACCACAATTTAATATACAAATATGTGCAGTGACAGACAGAAAGATGAAAATACCTTTGAGTTTTTCTGGACTGTTTGCGAAGATGAACTCCACTGTAGCGTCTGGAGGGAATCTGTCATCTGCAGAAAGATGGGAACAAAGACGGAGACTAAAATATCCAGAGCATAACCGCAGAGAGTGAGAAAAAAATGTCGACCGGAGGGTGAGATCTGTGAAGCAGAAAAACCAAACTTAATAAATAAATAAATGCTGCTTTTACTCTTTTTAGAATAGAAAACAGGAAGAGCAGAAAGAATGAGAATGGTTTTAATAAATAGAGCAGAACACATCAGAGACGGCTGTCATCTGAAACAAAGCTTTCCTTTTGAAATTGAAGTCTCACTGTGGGCAATATTGTTCTATAAATCATACTACATACATGTGTCAGCATTTTGCACTGAGGGACTACTGTGACACTGCAACTAAGAGGATCCATGTGTGACCATCTCTTGTCATCTAAGCCAGTGTTTTTCAACCACTGTTCCGCGGCACACTAGTG